TGAACACACACCCTGTTTGGACCCACTTCAGATTTTATTTGCAAATTTACTACCTTGCTCATCTCTAGTTTTGCTAATTTTTGGTGTACATGAATCGGGATACTACTGTATGTACAAGCAATATGTACAAGCAAACCTGTTTAATGGCCCGGGAGCTAAAGGTTAACAATATATTTTATGATACATTGAAATACTTTAGTTTTATAGCAATGTTTCCATTGGTTTTCACTGATTATAACAATTATTATCAAAGGGTGTATTAAAATGTTATTAACACATCAAATATAAGATATATTTTTTTATTAAATAAAAGAATTATTATTTTTACATTTGAACTTATTCATTAATTTATAAAATATAATTATTACAAGTTTCTGTGTACTGATTGTTGTGATTGTGTTATAAGTATTTAATTAAAATAATTATAAAATGTGTGAATTATTAAATAGTTTTACATTTGGTAATCAAATTCCGACAGATATTAGAGAAAACATTAAGAAATTATATGTTTTTAATGATTTAAATAATAAATATAATGTATTATTTGTTACAAACAATGATATGGTCTATGGTTTGGGTAATAATGGCAGTGGATGTCTAGGTTTTGGACACAAGAATCCTATGCTATCACCAAAACTGATACCACAATTATGTCATCAAAACATACAATACTTTGTAAATGGAATGGATTTTGTATTAGCAGTGAATGATATGCATATTATATATGGATTTGGGTCTAATCTTTGTGGCCAATTGGCCCGGGGTGATTTAAATAAATATGACGATTGTTTTACACCAGATATAATACCATATTTTAACGATAAAAATATTGTACAAATAAGTTGCGGTAATCGCCACACACTGGCCCTCACAAGTGATGGCCGGGTCTACGCCTGGGGTAGCAATTTGTGGGGACAAATGGGTTGTGGAAATAATAGTTACATAATTTGTACACCAATTGAAATACCAATCATTAATACTTATAAAATACAATCCATTTATTGTTATTATTTGTCTTCATTTGCCATTACATCCGACGGACATGTCTTCAGTTGGGGTAACAATTGTAACCAAATTTTGGGACACAATATAACCGATGATAAAATATTTAACCCTCGATTGATTGAAAACATACATAATGTGAAAGCAATCACTTGTAGTCGTTTTGGCACATATTTTCTGACAACAAATGGTTTATATTTTTGAGGACAATATTTTGAAAATTATCAATTCATAAATGAAAATATTCCGAAACAAATACTATCTAAACATCACTTTCAAAATATACAACACATTAATTCGTGGAAATCTTTAATTAAAAATGAATTCATTAGTGTTTTAATTAACGATAGAATATATAAAATATCAAAAGAAAACAAAATAATTGAAACAAATTATAATAATTTTATCGATTTTTACGCCAATGAATACCAAATAACCTATAATACAATTACTCTAAAAGAACTAACTGAAAAATGTCTATAACATTCTAGACAAGTCCATAGGCAACAGATCTATACAATTATCCGTTTCTTATTGCAAGGTTGAACTGTATTTTATAAAAACTTTTTATTTACTGTATATCATTATTTTCACTATGGTTAGTTTTGCTTATATAGCGATTGTAATTATTAAACGTATGGTTATAGATCTTAATAGTAATATAATAACGACAACAATAATTGTAACAATAAACTAATTTCATTAAAAAAATTAAAACTAAAAAACACAAACAATTAAAACAAAAATTTAGGTCAAAACAACTCAAACCTCAAACCCAAACTCAAACCCCACTACCAGCGCACCCATACCTACCAGCCCTACACCAACACCAAAAGTAATGGACATCGAGCAGCGCTTAAACGCCTTGAGCGACACCATCGCCCATATCCGGGCCAATTTGGCCGAACTCATGGGCTTCCACTCCGATCTCCACCATATGTTGGCGGACGCGGACCAATTCGCCGAACCCCAGCACATTCTGGTGAACGGCCAGCCGGCATTGGTGTGGGTGGGGCCACCCGAGCCCCCTCATCAACACATACCGCGGACCCTAACGCTCCGCTTCACTCTGGGCGAGTGGGCCGACCACTACCTGTTGTTTAAGTTGCGGTCTATGACACACGCAGTGGCTGATGGTGTGTTGGGCGCCATATTGCGGTTGGTTGATGGCCAATAGGCACCCCTCTCCCGAGCGCCGGGCATATTAGCACAGGTGGCCCAACACATACTATCATTAGTTTTTTCGCCATTTATTGACAGTATATTTGTTTGAAATCAATAAACAGTTTGCGAAACAGTAATTGTTGTGTGTTTTTGTCGGGAGGGGAGGAGGGGTTCGAAATGATCTGTTTATCTAATTAACGGGGAATGTATTTGTTTAATTATTTGCCTGATCTTATACTGTATATCTGATCATGTTTTATTAATGGCAATTATCAGTAACACTCGGGCCTTGTGGTAATTTAATAATGCAAAAATAATTCATTTTAATCAATATATAAATTTGTATTCATTTTTATTTATAAGTATTATCAAAAATAATCATTAAATGCATTGCGAATGACAGCCAAGTATTGAAATTATATTTATAATTAAACACAGAATTTATAATTAAATTAAATGATTAAACAGTAATTTTAAATCATAAATACAATCAAATAATAACTACAATAATCCTAAACATAGGCCCACAGACGGCAAACACCCGGTGCTCTAAAACACGCGATCGACGTACTGGGCGTCGGCCGCACTGCGGGGGTGCTGTTGGGGGTGCGCGCCGTGCGGGACAACCCCATGCCCTCCGGGACCGCCAACGGAGAGCTGCGGCTGCGGCGGACCGACCACTCGCCTGCGGGCGGGCGTCAAGTACTCGAACATACTCTGCGTGTGTTGTGATAGCATTTTAGACAAGTCCAGAGGCATCGGGTCTGACCAGAAGAAGTCGTGATTCAGCGCTGAGTCCGAGTCGAGCCGTTTCGTTGGGTCTAGTATTAGGAGTTTGTCCAACAGGTCGAGCGCGTACTGACACTTGACGTACGCCTTGAGCCGCTCCTTAACCTTCCTCTTCTGGTTCTTCGCCAAATCCATTTTGTTGTACAGATCCAGCCGTTCGACACCCGGCCAGACATCGGGTGTGATTGAACCGCACAGTTGGCTGATTAGGTTGAGTTGCATTTGTTCGGTCGCCCCCTGCATGATAGGGCTGCGCGTCCACATCTAGATCAGGGGTGCGATCAAGTAATTAGTGAATATGGTATTAAATGCTAGTAATAGTGTTAACACTAGAGCCCTGGCCTCCAGTCCCCACCCAACGGGTGTGGGGGACATAGGGGCAGGTGTTTAATGCACACATACCTCAGCCATTATACAGCCGGCGCCCCACAGGTCAACGGGTGAGCCGTAATTACGTTCGCCGAGCAGCAGCTCCGGCGGCCGATACCAGAGAGTGACCACACGATTGGTGTAGCGGTTGGCCTGCGGTTTGTTGGACGAGCTGATGGCTCGGGCGAGTCCAAAGTCGGCCAGTTTTAAGACCCCGTTTTTGGTGATCAAAATGTTGGCCGCTTTCATGTCTCGATGCAATATCTTCTGCGAGTGTATGAAAAACAAGGCGTTCAACAGCTGTTGCA